CTATGATGCAAAGTTCAGTTACATCGCAAAAGCTGATCGTCAGAGTATCGACAATTTGTCTCTTTCAATAACTTAAGTAGGAAATGAAGCCTGTAACATTTGATCGGTTTAGCTCAATGGTTCTGTTTTTATTTCTTTTCAGAAATTCTATCTTTTATTAATAAAGGCAGAAAAAGCTTGTGTGACTAGTTGCACGCATCGGTACAGTTATGATGATACGTTCTAACAAGTACTCTTTTTCCAAAAGTTGTCTCCTTCTCTACGTTTTCAGCGCGTACTCGTCCACGTACGACCGTTAATACAAATATTACTCGTTATATTGTTCTAGATAACTTTGGTTTCCGAGCAAAAATCTCGGTCAAAAAATTCGAAAAAAATCGAACTTGTCTGAAAACTCCCAAACAAAGATCGGTCAGTGCAGTTTTAACGGTGATTCCAAATAAGATGTTGGTTTTGAGAAAAAATTGAATTTTGATGGTGAAAACTGTAAAATATGAGTGCATTTCCTTGATGTTTGCTCGTATTTCAATTATAATGGATTGAGCCAGTGATATGTAGAACTTGTTTAGTCAAAATATTGTAGAGCTTTTCAAGAGCTATTTTTCTATACTAAAGAATAGTTGCATCCTCTCCTGCTTATGGGAGAAAATAGGAAAATATGATCACTCAAGCATGATCAGTAGATAGGGGATGCTTGAAACTAAACCATTTCTCCTTAGTAATATGGTACGTAACTATGGTTCATATACCATTTTATTCAGTTTTTCATTGGCTATGCTTCTATATCAAATACAAGTTGGATCCTCGTTTGCATGTGGAGAAAAAAGTACTTAAAACATCGCTGATATCGTCTTTTAGGTACAATTTGTCTCGTGTAGAAACTAAAAGTGACTCAGCCAATGATGGTTAAAGGTTTTTTATATAGAATATTGTAGAGTAAATCAAGGGCTATTTTCCTATACCAATTACAAGTTGCATCCTCGTTTGCATATGGAACGAAAAGTATTTAAAATATCTCTGATACCGTTCTTTAGATCAGTTTGATATAAACTTTATTTATTAAATAATTTCGTCCTATTGAAATGATGTATAAGGATTGTTCATAGCGTATTTTATTCAGTTTTTTACTGGTTAATTTCTCACATCAAGGTTTGTGTGAACCCTATGCTCGATTTCACAAAAATATAGGTTTCTCTAACAACGACGCCGTCTGATGGAATCTCAAAATAATCAACATTAAAAACGTATTTTGAGCTTGTTTTCCATAAGAATAACTGGAAAATGTGTACAAATGTCTTTTTTACAAAAGTCAAGTTAAAATGAGGAAAAAAAGCAGGGAGCCGTTTTCTGATCAAATACACCCCCCTTCTTGGCTCGAAAGCAGTTTCCTTGAATGAAGTTTGTTCGAACAGAATTTCCTCAAATGGAAACCTCCAAAACAGAAATTTTCGGTTATACTCTATCAAATGTACGACTCAGATTATCTTCATATTCACCTTTATTTTTATCGATTTTTTACTTCAACCAATACAACAGCAGCGGAAATTACTTGTATATATCCAAAAGAACAAAGACATGTGACATAAAGGAAAAAAGTAGACAGAGATAGCTAAAGATGATGCAATTGGCATCATCTTTAGCTATCTCTGTCTATTTTTTATTATCGATCCAAAATATATGCGAACAACACTGAACTTCATTTTTCGCTGTTCCGATTTGTCATTGAACGGAGATCACAGATATGCCACCGTTACATGCTTCTACACCTGCAAGGATATTTGTTAGCATTTTTCGCGCGAAATAACTGAACTCCTTTTTTCCTCTTTTTCCACAAACTGTCGGTGAGATACCAGTTATTATCTGTAAAATAGTTTCAGCAGTATTTTGGGAATCCTTATCAATTATTCATCAGGACGAATGCCAAAAAAGCCCGTGTCTAACAGTTGAAATAAATATACATTTGACAAAAATTTCCGTTCTATATCGAAAAGAGCATCGATGTCGATCTTCGATCCCTAGATCGGCTCGATTCATGTCTACTCAAGAACGTTTCAAACTATTGGATAGAGCATCGCCTTCTCTATCTAAAACTAAACTCAAAATCTTTTCGGAATATTCCTATAAAAAGTAATTTCATTTGTGCAAGAAAAACTTGTCTTTTATTTCTGAACGTAGTGCATCAATAGATAAATCTGTACATTCTGTTCTATGTGCATACTCGTTTTTTGCGCTCATCGTATGCTGTTACCTGTAGTTGATGTCGCCTATACCAGATTCTCTATAATAATACGCTAATGTGTAAAAAAAAGCGACGAAGACAGCTATTGTCTGTGGCTTACCGGAACAAAATGCAGATCAAGTCGGTAAATTTCTTTTCATTTTATCTGTCCTTTGCTTTCAGGATTGAGTCAAGCGAGGCCCACTCGTTCGACGCGTTACTTGATATATTTCAGTCTTGAAAATGTGTGGGGCTGCAGAATTCTGGCCGAGCAGAATTAAGACTTCTAAAATAGACACTCAGTAAACAATGTATTGCCTGGTTCCCTACATGAAATTCTTATAAGTTCTTGAATAAGTTCTTAAGTTCTTAGGTTAAGAAACGTATAAGAACTTACCGTTGAAATTTAAGAATCAAGGTCTTTTCAGTTCTTAATCAACGCAAGTTAGTTCCTGTCAACTTCTTGAGTTAAGAAAGATCAAGAACTTGCTTGTGAAAAGTTGAGCAGGGTATTTTAGGGAATGAAATATTCTAGGAATGTGGTCAACAATAGCCTATCTGATGCAGACTTTGACGCTGATTCCGAATATGCGTATCTTGGCTGCCTCGTACCTTTTTCTAAAGAAATCAAGGAGACGGCCTTGCGTGTGCAGGCATCCTGCAAGTATTCTTGGATCAAGTTTATGCTTTCTTACAAAAATTCCAACATTTTACTGGAGGTTTTGCCTCTTTTTATTCAATATCTTGATATAAGTAATTAAGATCTTGATTTCTTAAAACCGAACGGTATGTTCTTACACGTTTGTTTATTCGTACAGAGCTGATCACCTGCATAATTTTTCACCCCTGCGCGATACCGCGCAGAGATAAAATAAAATTTATCCGCGTTGCAGTTTGCAGGTTACCAAAAAAATCTTTGTTCTGCACAGGCATAGGTTGAGGGTGAAAACTTCTGCACTGCCCTGCGCTGCAGGTGGACCCTAAAGCGAAGTATAACAATTTTCTTTCCTAGTGACCACTATCATTCTGTATTACACACTGATAATTATAGACTGTATCACCAGTTACGATCCACTATCCTTGTTCTATAGTTTTCTCTTTCTGTTATCATTTTCTATATACTATATGTAGTGCGCATAGTAAAAGTAACATTACATACAATAAGAACGAAATTCATTGTTTTTCTTTATTCTATATTTTGAGTTTAGTTTAGTTTAAACTTTATTCATTTAAGAAAGAGAAATAAGAATTCTATACAGATGCGGTCTGGGCCATTATATTAGAGGAAAATGACATATCAGATGATATAAGCGATTACGGATAAAACGTTTCACTCCTTCATCTTAAAATGTCTGGCAGATATAAAAAAAAAACTATTTGTTCTCCACACAAAAACGTCTTTCCCTGCAGGTAAAATCTTCTCCCCTACAGGAAGTGCAGACAGGAAAACATTCTTCTTTATCTGCCGGTCGTTAGTAGAAAACTTTTTTATTCACCTGCAAACTGCAACCTGCCTGCAGCTTGCAAGCAGTTTACCATGCAGGTGATCAGCTCTACTATCGTACAGAAAAAAACCTACTTTTTACTTTTCTATTTCCACTTCAAGCATGTCTTTATTTTTGTGTATATATTTCAGATATACAAACAAATGTGAAAGCAAAATCAGCTGGGTAGTAATGTCAGCTGCAAAGCGAAATCAACTGTCAAAAGGTTAAACAAGAACACCCGAAACTTAAAAACATATAAAACATGTTTATAATCTTTATCAGTAATTAACAGTGTGCTTGATAAACATAATAAAAGAACGAAAATAAAGAAGAAGTACTTTTATTATATTTATCGAGCGCACTGTTAATTGTGCTTGATAAAGATTATAAACATGTTTTATATGTTTTTAAGTTTCGAGTGTTCTTGTTTAACCTTTTGACAGTTGATTTCGCTTTGCAGCTGACATTACTACCCAGCTGATTTTGCTTTCACATTTGTTTGTATATCTGAAATATATACACAAAAATAAAGACATGCGTGAAGTGGAAATAGGAAAGTAAAAAGCAGATTTTTTTCTGTACGATAGTATAAATAAAAGAGGGATTGTTACTTTTTACGTGGTGAGTTTTGGGATTATAAACAATGCATTTTAAATGTGTTCGATGTTATCGAAACTTACACGATAATTATCGAAATAGAATTTCTGGTGATCTCTTACAATTATTTATTTCTTCTCGTACGTTAAAACGAATATGTTTGGGTGATTCTATCTGTAAAAGTTGTCGGTCGAAATATGATAAATAGGTAAAAAAGATCAAGAATGACTCTAAGAGTTTCACTCAAGGGACTCAAGCTAATGTCTACATTGATAATGATCAAAATAATTCCGAGGTATATATGTCACCTCAATTCTGGAATGTAAAATTTGTCTTGCGAAAACGAGTCCAGAGACTGTTTCTGGCTTATATACCATGTTGAACCCTCAAAACAGTATCTAAAACAGAACGTCGGTCTATGAGCAATGCGTATTGTTTCTTCTAACAAACTGAATTAATTATTGAGTGTCCTACTTCTCCTTTATTTTCGATCTTGGTTTTATTATGTTTATCAAGCACACTTTTTTTATCACTTGCTTTTATTATGTTTATAATCTCTATCAAGCACACTGTTATTTGTGCTTGATAAACATTATAAAAACAATAGATTTATGTGCAAAAGTCTTTTATTTTATAAAAACGTTTCGTCTTTTGTATTTTATCTGTTTTTTTCTTCTACAGTGTGTGACATAAATTTCATGTATCCTGCTTACGTCAGTGGTAGTATAGCGGAAGGACAACGCTTCTCTGAAGATATTGATTTTATATTTGAACAAGGCGAATTAAATGATGAAAATGAACTTATATCAACCGAAAATGATCTCTATGTGCAAATTAAATGGAATAATGAAAAACTGGCTCATTTACCTGATGGTAACACTAATGAAATATGTTGTGTTAATGGGTTTGAAATGAAGCAAAATTATTGTAATCATGACCAAAGGGGTCTCGGGTGTTTACGGGCTAATATGGATATTTCTGTCGATACAGTGAGCATTTTACGTTCGCCATTACTTAAGATTACGTGTATAGAAGAATTTGACCAGAGATTTATCCAAGGTTTGCATATGATTGCATCGCAATCCCGAACTGAATTTACACAAAATTTTCTTTTTCTATATGATAAAGTGCGTAAATCTATAACGAATTAGCTGAACAAGAACGAATGATGAATCATAATCTAACAAGTGAATCTCCATCTAAACGTTTATTTTATATGATGGGACCGGCCTATGGTCAATATTTTCCGGTGGAACTCAAATTACAAATAAACGAATTAATCAATTATTATTACAAATATAAACACTTGAGTAATTTAGCCCTAATCCGAAATTCGTGTCAGCAAATTATAGACAAAATAGCAAGTTATAAAAGTGATATTGTTTTAGCGTTAAAACTAAATTTTTGGCCAAATAATGTTCAACCATTTCTGGAACGTTTTCAGTTATCCAATCAACCAGCTAAGTTATATGAGAAAATAAGACAGGTTCACATGCATGTTGTACCAAAAGGTTTAAAAGCTTCAGCAACGGCTGAATATGAATTTCGCTATTCCTTTTCAGCTGCTGAATGTTTATTAGCACAATCAAGAACGGTTAAACAACGACTATTGAATGGTATTGCAAGACGTATATATTACAAGCACTTGCGAAAACAAACAACTTTGCAATCATATTTTATTAAGACAAGCGTATTATGGATGTGTGAAATGCTTGATAATTTTAGTTATAATGATGATGATGATCAATGTCAAGATAATGTAATAATTGGTACACAATGGATAACGTACACTTGTGATCTATTACGTTCTCGTACATGCAAACACTATTTCATGGATCATATTAATATTTTAGAAAAATATACAACGAATACATCAGGTAAAGCGTTCCAAAATTTCGGTATGCATTGAAAACGTTGAAAGAAAAAATGTCGAAGGAATAAATGTCGAAAAATAAATATCAAAAAATAAATATCAAAGGAAAAAATATCGAAAAATAAATATCGAAAGAAAAACGTCGAAAGAATGGATAATGGTGAGCTTGATGAGAAAGGTAAAAATTTTATTTTATTCTATTCAACAAAGGAAAAACAGATGTATTGATGATTAAAATTAACTATAAAAATGTAATAAATCGCGTTGTTAGCATCAAGTTCATTTTTTTTTCTTCGCGATCAAGAATGATAAATCATTTCAAAAAGTGCTGAATGGATGATGATGAGTTTGATCAGAAAGGTAAAAGTTTTATTTTATTTTATTAGTGTGATACTTTTTAAAATTTTGGAATTAAAAGTAGTAGGGAGGGAGAATAAGACCCTTTCCTGGCCCAAAATATTTTCGGATTTTTGCATTGGCATCATGTCAGGAGATGCCCAGGAACATTTCCACGCGCTTAGTTCCGAGAAATCTCTAAGTCGGTTTTCTCAGGTCAGAGGCAGGGTTTTTGAAAAACCTTTCATTTAAAAATTTCTTTCGTTAATTCAGTGCAAAAAGAACCTAGATTCATCATCTATGGCGTTTTTGTGTTGGACTTAGTTGGCTTCATTGAAAAGCTCCTTTTACCTTTTCTTTTTTGTTTTCAGACTAATTTTCGACTAATTATTTTCTCATAATCCTTAGCAGTTCGAACAAAACTTCTTTTGGGAATCTATGCTGTGTTCAGACTACAAAAGTTAATGAGCATTAACGAATCTGATTGGTCGATAGAAAGTTAAGCCGTCACAAAAACATGACTTAAGTCGGAGTTAAGGATGCTGATTGGTTGTGATCAGTAGTCTGAACATGACCTATGGCCCATATCTTGAAGTGCTTTCCATACTTTAATGGGGAAACAGAGCACTTCGATTTTTTGGTAAATATCCGCCTGGATGCACACTGTGAGGCGGGAGTTGAGAAATTTCCAAATGAATGACACTCTGAGGGACGCATTTTCAGAAGGCACGAAACTCAAGATGACGAATTGCCGCTCGCGTGAGGGTAATAGATGACAATCCTGCAAATATCTTTCTTTAAAAAAACCATACTCATGAGTCTACCATTCAATATCAATCTGGGTCTTTACAAAGCCGTCATGGTGTGTAATATATACTATACAGAAAAATTGTAAAAAGACTGTTTAATAACGACATCTTAAAATTTTCGACATTTTATGTGATCAACATTTTTTCTTTCGACGTTTTCATATCCATTCTAATATTTTAGCAAAATATACAACGGAAGAATTAGATAAAGCGTACCAAATTTTGGAAAATGTTGATTTATCTGAAGTAGATCAGACATCAATAATAAAGACTACGCACGATGTTATTATTCAATACTCGGAAGATTTCAAACAATGGCTTGGTCAATTGAATCTACAAGATGTTTTGAATGCAATTAATGATTTTACTGCACTGAAATTGAAAGTATTTCCCAATGTACAGTTTAAACGTGGTGCAATTGTGGCGATAGCAGTACTGTTGAATTCATTAGCTCTATTAGATGGTAATAAAGAAAATAATTTATCAGTTTGGAAAAATTTGTTTTTAGATACAGATCATGAGGAGATAAAAGGTGGAAGTATTAATCATGAATGTCCTGAATGGTTAGGGGACCCGATGGAGATAATTGGTGGCCTAGCGTTATCAGCATTTTTTATGAAATGGATAAACGATGTTGTTACAATTCCGTGGATGTTAAATTCAATTAAGAATTCAAACTTTGATTTATTATTTCGACTATATCATATGACGAATAAAATAGGAATATTTAAACTAGGCAGAGATGGAGTGATCAGCTCGTATTTACCAAATGCCGTAAACCCTTATTATCGGCGAACACTAACAAGTCAGTCGATTATTAATGGTTCACAGGCAAATTGTGATGCAAGACTGGTAGATATAATTAAAAAAATATATGAGACCAGTGCGATATCACCAGCCACAATTTCACCCATAACGTTGGACACAGTAACAGAAGAAGATAGTACAGCTATAACAACAATCAATGATTTATGTCAACTAGGTAAACTAAACAATGGTGAATTCAAAATATATTGGATAGTAATGATTATACTGTTGCATAATTATATGCAATCAATTGGATCATTAAAATACCAATAGGGTAATGCACGTAATTTTGGTACTTGTTTTTTTTATCCGAGGGGTGGTGGTAATCCTATTTTATTTCACCATTAGTTTTCGTTTTTTTGGTCATCCTGAAATTTATATTGTGATTGTTCCTGGGTTTGGTATGATTTCTCAAATTATTATTAGCATTTCTTTAACCCTTTGGCGACGGGAAGCCTATATACAGGCAAATGTAGCGACACTTCTGTAACTCAAGAATCATAAGAGCTAGTGACTTCTAATTTTGTGTGATCATAGCTCTTACCGAATGCTGATCATCTACCAAGTGTGGGTCCCCTTTAGTGGATGGTTCGTGAGATATAAATGATTTATTTTTTTTTCCGTAAAATATCAATAGCTCCTCATCTAAGAAAGATGAAAACTTTTTCTTTTTACTAAAATGTAGCCACGACTCTACTCTATCTACGATATGAATTTCATGAGTTGGCAGTTAGTAGTCAGTTAAATACAGCTATTTTACGGGCGAGGTTCGCGGTTTTTTGTTGAAAATTCGAGCTCCTTTGGAGAAAAAAATGCACAACTCAGTCTAGCAGCATCATTTTG